ATAAAAATCAAATACCATACAGCAGTCTAAAACCAAATACAGAGTATTTTGTTATTGTTGTTGTCATCCTTTGAGATAATTTATACCAGAGATAATTTGTATACAGTTATCTGTTTATGAATCAATATGAAAAAAAGAGTAAGGATCATTTAAGATAACAGAAATGTTAACTCTGAACTTTCTACAGCAATGCAAACACAAAATCACCTGGTCCTAGTGGTGAATTCAGTTCAAAATAACACAGTTAAAAAGACATATGTAGTATACTTAAACCTCTAGAACTTGGCTTGGAGAGTCAGGTGAGCCACAGAAAGATTAATAAGCCAAGTTCTATAACTTCTTTTTGGGTGTAGCTTCCCCCCCTCGCAACCGTTTAGAAATGACAGCTACATGGAAGTCCAATATGTTAACAGAAGGAACAGCATGTAACGTAATTTAAGTAACAAGTCAATAAGAAAAGTGATTTTCATAAATATTTGAGACTGGGTTTACAGAAGACAGAGGTTTTCTTAGGTGACCCCATCTCTGTATTTTGTTTCAGTTGCACAGTACTGAGAAAGCTCTGATTCAGCCTAAGAAATGGTAGCCGCTCTTTCAGAGCTCACCTTGAAATACCAAGATGCTCTTTCATGTACCACGGATGGCCTTATTCTGGCCTCTGCACAAAAACAGTTAACCTAGTACTCGTGTTTGCTGGATTTCAACATTTTAATATGTTAAAAACAGCATATTTGAGTTTGTTGGTTTTTAATTTTTGAAGTTAAAATATTTCTAAAATCAAATATTAAGGAAGGATCTCAAGGCAGTTTGAATATCACTGCCTCAAGACGTGAGTGAATTGATTTATTTTGGAGTGAAATTGGCTTTCTGAACCTACACTCTACGCTTCCCATGAGTCCCCACTCCCTTGTCCCACTCATCCCCTCTTGGCCATCCCTTCTGTCTCTTTCATAAGCTCTTGTCCCGCACCTGGCCCAAAGTGACATTTCCCTTTGACATTCTCTTCATTTCTCATGCCCCTCAACCACCATTACATAAGCTAACATCTCCCAAATATCTCCAGCTCATATTTTTCTCCTGAGCTCCATTTAGACTCACATCTCCAGTTGGATAGTCTATAGGCATCTTAAACTCAAAATGGAGCTAACTCATCATTCTCACCTTTGCCTTTGCTTTGTCTTACCTCCTTGACTCCACCCAAACTAAGCCCCTCCCCCTCTTGAATTCATTATCTCAGTAAATGGGATTGTTCACCCTGTTGTCCAACTCAAGAGACTTAGGAGTCATCTGGCTTTCTTCTCTTTTCCTCGCCATCTTCATTAGCAAAGAAGTCCTACTGATTCTACCCCCTAAATATTCCCTGAATCCATTCCATCTTCTCCTTTCCCATTGCCACTGCCATAAAGCAGACTCTCAACAGGGATTGTGATTTGCATAACTACCTAGACTTGTAAAACAGTTTTTTTTTTTTTATCACATCACTTCTTTACAAAAAATCCTTCAGTATCTCTGCATTACCTTCAAAATAAAAACCCCAATCTTTCATATGACTTAGAGTCCTTCCTCATCTACCGCTTGCCTACTTCTCCGTCACCATCTTTTGCCATATCCTTCCCTACAGCCTATGTTTCAGTGTGCTAACCCGTTCTAAGTTTCTAAACGTCTCAATTCTTTCATCCCTCTGAGCTCTAGCACATGACATACTCTCTACAATTCTCTTTCAGTCCTTATTCAACTAGCTGGCTCCCACTCCTCCATCAAGAATCAGTTGAGTGTCGTCTCTTTTGGGAAAGACTTCTTGACTCTTCTTCCCTTGGGGCTCCCCTGCGCTAGTACTCTCCATTACCGTTGCACCTTTGCACTATAAAGTAACTGTCCGTGTCTTGTACTAAATTGTGAGCTTCTCCCTCCAGTCTCTATTTCAGATGGGGCCTGGGACATAGCAGGTGCTCAATAAATGTTTTAACTAAGAGAGTAAAAGGCATGATTTAGAGGCCAATGGATCACTTACAGGTCTATTAACAAAACAATAACCCCATGACTGTGATTTTCCAGTGAGATGGCACCTTGCTCTATGAATCTTTTAAATTAATCCAATTCAAACTCAATCCTTTGGTGGTTCCCCAAAAGGATAACATAGAATTATATAAGATCTAGCAATTCCACTTCCAGGAATATACCCAAAGAAATGAAAGCAGGGACTCAAACAAATACTTATACAGGAATGTTGACTGCAGAATTATTCACAAGAGCCAAAAGGTGGAAATGACCCAAGTGTCCATCAACAGATGAACGGATAAGCCAAATGTGGTATATCCACACAATGGAACATTATTCAGCATTGAAACGGAATGAAATTCCAATATATGCCACAACATGGATAAACCTTGAAAACATGCTAATTGAAATAAGCCAGACACAAAAAGATAAATATTGTATGATTCCACTTATATGAGGGGTATCACTCATCTAAAGATCCAAGGGCCATGAGTTACTTCTAGGGCTGATCTAATGGCTAGATAGCCTGCAGAGGCCTTAACTTCTGTGGAACCATAATTGACCACAAAGTCTCCCAGTACTGACTGCAAAACCTGCATCCTACTGAACTACTATATAATGTTGGAGAATGAGTTTTACAGGTTTACAACTTGTTTCATTAGGAAACTTAAGAGATGAATTACCTTCCCAAGGCCTTTATAAATAGTTTGCTACTTAAATTTTATAAACTGAAATTCTGCATATAAAATATAACTTCGTTGGATTATCTGAAGGCTGTAAATTTTTTTTAAAAATTTAAGACTAAAACATATCGCATAAATATGACACCTGCAAACAAAGTATGATTTATAACTGAACAATAACAAGCATGTAAACACCAAACGAGGCTGAAGAGGTTGTTCAAGAAGAGCGAGTATAAAGTATTTAGTTAAGTGCCCTAAAGAGATATTCGAGAGGCAAGGCAGACAAGCTGGAGGGAAAACTGTACCAGAAACACAAGCAAGATCTCCCCCTCTCATGAGGCTGTGGTACCAGCTGACCAGACCGATCACTGGGCACACAGCGAGTGCAAACATCCGAGCCGCCTTCCTTCCTCCCCCCCGCCCTCTTCCAGAGGACACCCCTGCAAGGCCTCTACACGTAGAAATGAAATGTCAAACAGTACAGGGCCTGTCATACAGCAGATACTCAACAAACACCCCTTTCTGTTCCGTTTCATACTGAAATGGTCAGGACAGCATTCACTTCAAGTCTATCTGCTTTCTAGCCATGTTTTCTGAAATAGTCATTCTACCTAAGGTATCACAATCAAATAAGTCATATATGCAAGTCACACAGATATGACTTATTATACATACGCATATATAGTAACATAGTTGAAAAACACAGATAACAAAATCAGGAATGTTGATAGAAAAAAATACCCACAAAAGACATTTTTCTACACAGAAATGGGCTTAATTTTCCATTTATTAGGCACCCATTATCACCTTAATTTGGTGTTATCAGGAGAAAGCAAAGTAATATTTCTGGCCCTGGGTAGATTTGATGTTAAAATAATTGACAAAAGTAGGTCAGAATCCCACAGAATGGTGAGTTCTGAATATTAGGTGTCTCATATTAGGTTATAAATCCCGACAAGACAAATGACAGGATCTTTTGAAAGCCTTTGGAATTCATTAGGGCAATTCCAACATGTTTAGTTAAAAGCAGCAGCAAGGTAGGAAGTAGCACTTATGTGTCTCTGGCTGTCCTGATGTACTTTTAGATAAAAACTGAAGTCACTGTGCTCCTGCTTTTTGCTGGCTCTTTCCACAAAAAATATCCTCTCCCACCGGATGTGCTCCTGCTGTCCTCTGGAATGTGTCCTTTAATCTAAAGGAGAGAAGCGTCCTCAAAGAGCCCAGAGGATTGACTAGATCTAACTTCTCTCCCTGGGTCACCTGTTTTTCATAAAAATGACCTACAATGTTTCCTTTCTATCTAGTGTACCAGCAGAAATCACTAGGCAGTGTAGTGCTGATTGAGTCTTTGAGTGTTTTGTTTTGGATAAAACTGTTAGCTATTCTACTAGGTAATATATAAACAAAAAATGAAAAACATTCATTTCTTTAATGCAATAACTATGCTTCTATTTGTGTGACATCTATATATCAGCTTCCCATAGAGAAAAACTGTCATAAAAATTTGAGGTCCAATTTAACATGAATATTAGGAAAAAATACACTTTCACAATTTCGAGTAAGGTGAATGATACATTTTTTCCATTCTAAAACGATCCTTTTCTAGTAATTTTAAAAATATTCTCTCACATAAAAATTATCTCCTCAACAAATACTTATTATAGGACAGTATCCTACTTGAGAAATTTCTAAAAATATGTCATTCTCAACTACTTCTTACCTGAAAGTTTTCTTTTTTAAGATTTTATATAAATTAATTTACTTCATGAATGATAAAGGAACAATGCTATTAAATATCCAGAAGACAAAAATTCAATAAAGACTATTTCATGACTTCAAGCACAGAATTTCATGATTTTCAAGTTATTTGATAGCAAATAAACAAAAGGATTTCTTCCAAAAAAACACTGCCACAAAAAAACTTTCCCTCTGGCCCGCCTCCCATTCCAGAACTGACAGAGAATCAGGTCTGCAAGGAGAGAGCTTGGAAGACTGTAGCACATACATTAAAAAATAAATTTAATTTTAACATGGCAAGGAAAAGAGTTTAAAAGGTGATAGTGGTTTTAATTTTGAGTGTCTTTTAGTTCTACTTGAAAAAAAAATGTAACTTTTTCCTCTACTTCCCAACGGTTCAATGACAGCAAAACATTAAATCTATGATGGTGCTGGAGTTCTTTCTATAGGGCCAAGTGGGGATGCAACTTCATGAACTTTTTTTAATCTGCAGAAAGAAAGGGGGAGAAGAAGAGAGAAAGAGAGAAAGAGAGAGAGAGAAGAAGAGAGGAGAAACAAAAACTAATTTTCCAGGCAGGGAAATATTTATAAAACCTTTTATGTCAAAGTTAGGATTTCACAACATAACACACTAATGCAAAATCCAGTAGCACCTGTAAGATTTAAGTAAATGCTGCCATCACTTAATGCTTTTAAATATCTGTAAAAGACTGAGGGAAAAAGATAAAGTACATTCTCCAGAGAACAACAAATGTATTTCAAAATAAAAACTGTATTTGTTTTTCTTTTTTTTTCAGTTGCTTTTTGTACAAGAATTCATAGTTATCATAGAATAACTTATACACAATGGGATCAATCTCTGCTTTCCTTTTTTGTGTCACTTCAAGTCCACATGTTCAGGCTATAGTTCCCCGTGTGATTTTATGATAAATATATTACCACAGTTTGATCTAAATATAGATACATTATATAATACCTGTCTCTGGGAAAAATCAAATTTTATTATGCAAACTTTTATTTATATAATACAGAAATGGAGAAAACTACAGTAGGCACATGACCTAATTATGACTTGTAGATGACGACTTGAGATACTCTCCTACTGTAAATGAATGTTTAAAATAGTCAGTAAGAAGATTTTATTTATATGTGCACTTGTGTCCACCTTCTCCCATATACTGTACACGTCTAATGACAATCTGGGAATTTAAAGGTGCAGCCCTCAAGAAATTGTTAAATCACTAAAAAAAGAAAAATCTAGGCTCTATTGCACAAGGAAAAAACTCACAAAATTTCCAATTTTAAATTTCATAGCAGTAGCAAAATATTAAAAATAATTTTCTGTATATACATATGGGTATATGTATATATTGAATTACACACATGTCTCACATATCAATACAATTCAAGTGGAGACATTTTGGTGAGTTATTTTCCCATTAAATGACAACTATGTCAAAATTTAAAAATATCTTATCACATCATTAAAATAATTCACTTACCATTTCAACAGTTTATACTTTTTTTTTTTATTTTTAACTCTTCAAAACTAAATTCCCTGATCCCTAGTGTTAAATCCCTATTTAAATTAAAATCTGGTGCTCTCTGTCACTCAGAAACTGATGGATAAAAGCACATCTACCTAATTTCATCAATCCAATAAATTGTAGTACCTGATCTATCAGAGAGACCTCTCAGCTCTGAGCCTGTGTACCTAAATTATCTTCCCTGTAAGAAACAGGGGAGGAAGATATCCTAAACTAGATGGAGGTAACTCATATGATGTTATAGCACACATAATACACGATAATAAAGGGTCTGATATAAACTTTTCAGAGACACCTGAAAACTCACTTTAGAAACTAACTTTAGAAACAAACCATTTATTTTTCACTCTAATATAAATTAATATGTATGTATTTACATACATACACATACATTTATAAAACAACTGTTTAGTGTTGAGTAGCTGTTTGTGAGTGAAAAAATGGTTACAAATTGATTAATTACCTTAATTCTGTATTGAACAATTCAATCTTTTTGGGGTACAAACAGAGTCAGTGCATTTGCAGACTTCCTCGAGTCAGACACTCAAGCAAACACTTTGAGAAAGAACACTCCCTCAGCATCACAGGCATCGCACAGCAAGAATATATGGACTCTGATGCAGTTCCTACTCCATATGCAGACTAGACAGCACTTGGCTTACTTTTAAAATAGCTTCTTAAAAGAAATATATAAAGAAATGCATGTTTGCCGAAAGTCCTTTAAAATTACATCAAAACAACATTAAAACCTGTTTACTGAGAAGAGCCTATTGAATTGAATTCCTGTTTTGAAATGCCTAGTTAACAGTTCAGAATATTGCCTTGTGAGGTTTGACTAGAGATGTGGCTGACGTGAAGACCCAGACAGAGTACACAGCTCCAATCCCAATAGTCCTCTGATCGGCTGTTTGATGGAAATGGGTCCCCTTTAAAATAGCTATACACCTTAAAATGATCTATAATAGACAGTTCCCCAATAACCATTATTATTTGTAAATTGAAATGCATTGATCATTCAGAAAAGATTTCTTGCAAAATATATAAATCAATGTAACTGCATATTCTGTAAATAGACTTAACATTGCTAGACCAGACCGTCAGTGACGGCTGCTATATTTCAGTACTGTGTGTCAAATTTATTAGAAATTTAAAAAGAAAAATTTCTGAGGGACTCAGCTGCCTTCGTTAGTTGGCTTTAAAATGTGTAATAAAATGGGAGACAACATCTTCTCATAAATACATGGAATCAACATGGAAAAGTAAACTCCACAGCGGACAAGGTTAGAGACCATCAGAGTGTACCAGCGTGGTCAGCAGAGTGAAATCTCTTCCAGTGTAAAGAAGGGAAGAACTCTATACACCCAATCATAGCAAGTATGTTTCAATGAAAGATGCAGCTCTCTCACTCCTGGCAAGAATTAACTGGTAATGGCACTGCTTCTCGGCAGTGCAAAAATATCCTGAGAAATTATTCAGATTACAACAAAAGACAGGGCTTTCATCACTAAGTTTTTGCACAAAACACAGCTTTAGATATCGTAAATAAATTAATTTAAAAAGCAGATAACCTTCACTGTGTTGAACACAAAAAGGGGATGTGACCCAGACATTGTTAATTCTCCCATTGGCTAATATCGGAAAAAAAGATTGCATTAAGTGTCTATTTATAACTTTCTAGTTAACTATGGCCAATAATATACATGGAGGTAATTTGTAGTTCAAGTTTTTCATCTCTTTTTTCCCCAACTAGCTACAAGCTGAATTCTAAAATTTACACTGAAATATACAATTCCAATTTTCAAAAGATCCTCTTCCTGGAGGAGTGATATTCAAATTTTTTGTGCAATCTTGATGCAGAGCCCAAACAGTCCTATGAAGAGAGACAGTGTATTTTTTTAATCAATTGGCACTGAAATTTCACTTTCCTTAGCTGCATTCTAGTAGCTTGGCCAAGTTATCTCGTAATTCTGTTAGTTCAAATATTTTTCCATCAAGAATTTCTAGGAGTGTCTTCAGGTTATTGCGAAAAGCTTCTTGTTCATTCTGACTTTTCTCCAGACGTTGCTCTAAGTCAGACAGTTGTCCCTCCAGGTCTTTGTTCCGAATTTCTACTTCCTTTAGAAACAAAAGTGTGATACACAGATACGTCAGTTCATGACTTAGAAAACAATATTACTTTCGTTATTACTAACATTGTAGCAGTTAATATAGTTTGACAAAGAGGACGAGCTTCTGAATCTCAAGTGAACAAAACTGAAGGAGATGTCAGATTTCAACCTCTGAGAAATCCATGTGGTTTCACTGAGTGGGTTGTTCATGAATCCATCATTCACCCCACAAAAACTCCCTGACTGCTTACTTGCCGCCAGGCAACCCTCCAGGGCCTTCAAATCAAATACTGAGATGCAAGTGAAAGGCCTGTTTTGCAGATGATTGACATCTCATTTCTATTTCTGCCCACGTAATTTCTCTAACGCACAACTGTGTGCAATCTCAGGCGAAAGCAGGCAGAGAAACAGAGACAAATTAATTTTTTTCTCCTAAGTGACAATTCTGGAGAAAGACTGAGAGAAGAAAACGACCCTCCAAAATGAGGTTTTAGGAGCCTCTGAGTATGTTAATTATTCTTTGTTTTGCCTCAATATCAAGTGAATGCACATGGTAGAGACTATGGCTCAACTACCAAAACCTGCAGTGAAGAGAGTTAACCAGTGTACATACAATAGGACCACAAAGCTAACACTTCCAATATGCTGCCAATCAAGGCAAGAGAACAGTGACAAAAGGGAAAGAAAAGTTCATCATGACAAAAATTTTAAAAAAATTTTTAAATAGAATAAATTCTGGCATACTTAAAAGTTATTTAGAAGTTTTTATTGCTTGAAAAATGTTTCTAAGTATGACAAATACAATAAGTGATTCTAAAAAATAAAATGATATAATATGAGCTCAAGATTTAATTCTGGTTAAAAAATCAAATTGAGAGTAAAGGCAGAAAACAAACTATTACACTTTAAACAAACTATTCAGGAAAACAACTAATCGAAAGTTACATATTCTTCCTGGAAAGCTCACTTTTACATCTAAGAGGAATTAAGTGACTGACACGAATCCCATTCACATCTGTAAATTATGAGAGACAATGAAAACATCTTGGTGTTAGGACCACAATATGCATCAGCCTCAGAAAATATGTTTCAAATGTTAGTATATCATTTAAATATAAATCTCTAAAAAAATTCTATCGTCTAAAGAATAGTGGAAACAAATATTTAAAAAATTTTTGGAAGACAATCTGATAAATATTAAATGAAAATAACAACATGAAGCGGCACACTGCAACTGGGCAAAAATCCGTATGCATGAGGACAAACACTGGGAATGAAGGTACAAACAGGAAACAGGAAATAGTTCAAGTTGTTTGGATTATGGGCATTTGTCCCCTAAAAATGTGTCTTATAATACGTGTAAAAATTCAGCTTTTGAGAAAAATAATTGGAAAATTAGCTTGAGTACATATTAGAAAGTAACAATTGATTTAGGATTCTGAACATCAAGAAATGTTCGCATGCCTTGACAGAAATAACTAAGAGCAAGGTTTAAGCAAGGATGTCACAGATGAGTTGCAACAGCTGGGAAAATAAAGGAATAAAGCAGCTACAATGATTTATAAATGAAGAATTTAAGAAATCCCAGTCTTATCTTAAAGTGTTTATTGTTAGATGTTCACGGGTATGTTTCTAATTTCTTTACCAGGTATGTTTCTATTCTTTTTACTTTGAATAATCTACAAGGTGAAGATAAGTAAACTGAGAGCAGAATCTGAAACCAGTAAATGTTTATAAATTCAGAAGCCAAGTTCATGGCGGCTCTAAACTCTGAGGGAGAAAGCAGACCCTGAGGTCAAATGTAAAAATTCCACTCATATTGCCCAGCATGCTCTCTTGCCTGTGAAACAATAAGCTTAAGAGTAGACTGTCTTCAACTATAAAAAGAAACCAAATGTCATTCACTAGGAAACACCCACTTTGCCAGGCACCACCCAGTTTGCCCTCTAAGTCTTCCTTAAAAATGAAAGGTTTCCTTGTTCTCCTTTCCAAGCAATGAAACACCCTAACATTTCAATGGAAGCAAGCAAAACACCAAATTCTCTCAGCTATTAAAATTGCTTTGTTCTCTCTAGAAGGAGTCTTGTACTCTAAGCCATTTCTGACTGGAGGCATTTTACTAGGCAGATAACAAAGAGGATCCAATACAATGCTGACGGTGTTGGTCTATTTTCAGGCAGAGAATATGATCCTAGTACAAGAATAGATAACCCAGTGTACAGGGGCCAACAGGAGGCAACCGGAGCCCTGGTTGGTGGCACTTTCCAGTTAACCACCTTCTGTCCATATTTTCCAGCCTCTTTCTTGCCTTTTATCCTCCTTCCTAACTCACTCTCCTGTTTATTATCATTTTTGTCCTACTGCTTTCCTCTCTCCCTTACTGATATGGAAGCAGGTGCCAGGGGTACCTAGAGGCCTTGGGGCAGCCCTGGTAAAGCAGTGGAAGCCAGAATTTGCTAAAACAAGTGCTCTAAAATGCAATAACCAAAAGTATAAATTCCTGGTGGACAGAAGGTCATGCTCTACATTTGTTAGCTGTGGAGCCTGCAACACTAGAGTGATGAAAAAGAACTTAAACAATTATTACCATCACCAATGGGACCAGATCAGGTTCATTTTCTATAAATTTAAATCTGCATCACTTAATCTAAATAAAAGCTACAGAAAGATTGTCTTTTTTGACATCTGATTTTCATCTTAAGTTCTTACAAGTAAGATATATTATTGCCCTATTAGAGCATTAACCTTCAGATATAACAGGATATATAAATCATCAAAACAAGTTTTAATAATTCAACAGAAAAATGGGTAAAAGACACAAATTTTGAAGAAGAGTTATTCAACAATTATTTACTGAATATCTTTTAGGTACCAGGCATTGAGGATACGACAGTAAATAAACAAAGATGGTCCCTGTTTTAATGGAGCATGCCTGGTAGAAGGAAGACACTGGCAACAAAGAAGGAAACAGAACAGATAACCTGGGTGGCTGAGGAAATGGTAACCATGTACAAAGGAATCTCCCAACCATCCTCCCAAACTCTATAAGCCAGTAATAAGAACAAATGCAACCACCCAAATTCCATGACTTCAATGTAATTAGAAGAAAGAGAGGAATACAAACTTCAAATTTCCTATAATTAGGTAACGTAAGCATCAATTTCCAGCAGAGGTATTTCTCAAGCTCTCATTCTAATCCTTTGCAGAGGGCAGGCAGGCTGTGGGGGCAACACACAGAAGAGGGAAGAAGAGAACGAAGGCCTAAGACTGAACTCTAATAACCCTGAGAAAGAGAAAGCACCAAAACACTGGAGGGAAAAACCATCCTAGTAGACCGGAGCAGACTCCAAGAAAGGAACTCAAGTGTCCACGAGACACAAGGAGGCAGCCTTGGCAGGGCAACACTGACGAGAAGGGTAAAGCGAAGAGAAAGGAACCTGTTGGAAGAGTGTGGTAAAGGGGAAAAGAAGCAACACAGGGAAACTTAAAATCTCCCAAGACAAAAGAAAATTGAAATCTCGATGGGCACACCACCTCTCCCCAAAAGAGGGTATTTTTGAACTAAGAATTGGTAAACCACCCAAAACTGCCACTTTATCCACTAAATACAAAGGTGCAAGCAATCTTCACCTAAGTGTTGTAAGATGAAAATAGGGGGGCCGGCCCTGTGGCCGAATGGTTAAGTTTGCGCGCTCCGCTTCGGCAGCCCAGGGTTTCACTGGCTCGCATCCAGGGTGTGGACATGGCACTGCTCATCAGGCCGGCAACGTCCCACATGCCACAACTAGAGGGACCCACAGCATAGAATATGCAACTATGTACTGGGGGAATTTGGGGAGAAAAAGCAGAAAAAAAAAAAAAGATTGGCAACAGTTGTTAGCTCAGGTGCCAATCTTTAAAAAAAAAAAAAAAAAAAAGAAAATAGAAAATGGTACTCCAAACACTTCAGTGGATGAAAATAAAAATCTCCCCCGAAAAACCAACTATGAAGCACAAGAAAACTCTATCAGAACCCTCCACTCTGAATTAAATATTCTCAAATAAGCATTCAAAAAAGAGCTTGAATCAGATATTCAAGCACGAAAAACTTTGACTATTTTCCCTTCTTTCTTTATCTCACTTTCACTCCCTTGGATTTTTAAAATAATTGACCACAAAGTAATTTTTATTCAAATCTATTTTTCCTTGGGCATCTTACAATGCAGTCTTCATTTCTGATATGAGTTTGCTTTTTTCTTCTGTTTCTATGGTTTAATCAACTCTCCTGTTTTTCAGGTTTTTTGCCCATTTCTTTTTATTATTGAATATGTATAGTTCAAAGTCAAAAGATATCTTAAAACCTATCAAACCAGATAATGAAAGTTTAAACATGAAGACAGATGACTAGCAGCATTCTAAAATGGTCTAGGTTCAAAGGCAACCATTATGACAAAGGCAACTTAACAAAGTTAAGACCATCTTAAATATCAAAAGATATAATAAAAAGAGCAATGAACACATCACATAGAGAAAGAGAAAAATCAAATTAATATACCACACAAATTACAACATAAAATAATAACAAGTTGAGACCAAACATAAAAATCATATCAATAAACATGAATGAGTTACCTAGTAAAAAAAAAAAAAAAATTCAGTTTGGCTCACAAAGCACTACCCAACTAAATGTACATGATACACAAAAAACACTCACAAAAACTGATCATACAGTAGATCACAAAAAGTTAGCAGTAAGTTAAGTATAAATATTACAAAAGGGGGCCGGCCCTGTGGCCAAGTGGTTAAGTTCACGTGTTCCGCTTTGGTGGCCCAGGGTCTGGCCGGTTTGGATCCTAGGCACGGACACGGCACTGCTCATTAGGCCATGCTGAGGCGGTGTCCCACATGCCACAACGAGAAGGACCCACAACTAAAAATATGCAACTATGTACTAGGGGCTTTGTGTAGAAAAAGGAAAAGTAAAATCTTTAAAAAAAAATTACAAAAACATTCTGTGATCACAATGCA